TAAGCTAGTTGCTGGAAATTTAAATCTTTTCTTATCCGGTCCGGAAACGAATTTTTATATAAAGCTATGGTGCTTCAATTACCTTGACATTTTTATTGAAACTTTTCCCATGGATTTTATACTATTCAGAATTTTTTCACGATTTTAGAGCATTTCTAAATATTTTTAAAAATCCGAGACTATCTACTGTCCATGTTTTTATTGCAGCTGGAAAACATATTTTTAAATGATTTATTTCACTATCCTTTTGATATTGGATCATGGCTTAAATTTCCAGTTTTACACTCTCATATGTTTACTTCCAAAATAAATTAGGTTTGCCCAATTTGGATGTCAAATGAATTTTCAAAGTTGGAAGCTACAGGTTGAAAATGTGTTTTCTGGGTAGAATTTGTTTCAAAGTTGTGGGTCAAAACTGTTTCAATTGAGAAAATATTTTGTTAAAATAAATTTATATTATCAAATTACAGTGTTTAAGCTTTCATTGGGCTTTGGATTCATTCAATTTGGATTAGAATTGAATTTTTTATGAATTTCCCAAGTTGAAGGTAACAAGCTGAAATATCTGTCTTGTGGACCAAAAATTTAAGGCGATTTCATTGCGGTAGTAATTGGGATTTTCATTCCAATTGAGGTAGGAAATGTTTTAGGATTTATATGTGTTGTATTGAATGTTTCTCATGATTAAACAACTTTTATGTATACCTTGTATCAAATTTAGAAAGTTAGTAATTTTTATTTCTTTGTATAAGATTTAAAATTCATGATGATATATAATTTTGATTTGAATTGTGACATGCTAGAAAATCATGTTTTAATATGTTTGTTAACATATATTAAATTGGTATTGATTGAATAAAAATTGCATATTTTATTTAATATTTATCTTTTGTGAAAGATTAAATCCCATGGCCGTACCTTGCATGAAATTGACTTATGATATGCTTTTAAATTATGTCTTGGCATGTTGTTTAATATACTTTAATTTGAAAGCATTTGGACAAGTATGAAAATCTAGAGATTTTAATTAAAATAATTAATTAAAATCTAATTAAGGGTTCCATTGGCCTAATTAAGTGCTTAACTTGATATTTGTGATAACTATGACTTATGTTCTAGCATATGTTAATTTGGAACTATTTGATGTTGTTTTAGAAGTTAGGGATTTGATTATCATGATTTAATTAAATTCCACTTTATTGTTCTTATGGCCTAATCAAGTTTTGATGTAGTGTATGTAATGACCATACTATATTGTTTATCATGTATTAATTGGAGGCCATTTGATTGAGATTTGAAACCTAGGGAATTTAATTAGTTTATAGATTGAATTTCGTTTCTATGGTATTATTGATTAACTCATGTATTTGACATTGATAGTATGTTTAAAATATGACTTTTGACTTATAATGAATTTATGAGTTTATGTTTTCAATATTGGATTATATTGTTATAACGTGTAACGAATCGCACTTTGAAGATTCAACATTGTCATCCTATAATAGTTGTGGATTTAGAGCATGTGTTGTGTGGATACAATCTACTTGTGCATAGAAGGTGACTTAGTGCATTATATAAATTACATATAAGTTGTGAACTTATTTGATTATTTTGGAGTCTTGGGACATTGTTACTGTGATATGGCTAAAGTTCGGCTTTAGTGCTGGAGGTATGAGTTCTCCCCAATTGAGATAGTGCGCACTAGGGTGGTCTTCCCAGCGGGTTAATGCCCGGAATAACCAATTTGTTCTTGGTTTAGTCTGAGACGTGATGTCCAAGTCTTCCACTATTTGTTTTCGCATTCAATTCCAAGTTATCAATCATGTTTATATTGTGACTGTGGTTTTGGCTATTGGCGATTTGATGTTGTTAAGTACATCCATACTAAATTGCTATATTTAGTTGATTTAGCATTTAGATTTCAAGTTGATAACTTTGAGAATCTATATCTAGTTGTTTTGTGTAAGCATGTTTCTATTTGGTTGCTTTGTGTAAGCATGTTTCTAACTAGTTGCTTTGTGTAAGCATGTTATATCTTGTTGTTATGTGTAGCATGCTCTTGTGTTGTTGAAATTGCATAAAGGATGTGTTTTATGCTAAAAATGATCTTAGGTAGCTAGGATGCTCCCTAAGTCTCACCTTTGACATAGACGTTAGGTGGAATGAACCACAATGATTAAATCATGTACACTTATAAAACGTAGGTCGATGCATGCTCATTTCCTACGAGTAGCTTTATGTTACTTACCCCTACGATACTGGGGCATATTTCAGGTACAGGATACAAGATTGGAGATTGCAATTGCTTGGGTGATTTGCTGAGTTGAGCTTCTTTAGAAACATTCTTGTTCACATGCAAGTGTTAGCATGTTCATGATTTGTCTATGAAATGTAATTTTTCTAACTTGGAGGTCTGACATGTCAAATGTTGTAAATGAGTTGTAATAAGGTCATGGGCCATTGTAGTATGTTTAAAATACCATTTTACACGCAAGTGTATATTCACATCATCACACGATAGCATATAATGCAATTTGATCATGCCATGGGGAGTCATTTTGATGCCTTAGGGATGACGTACATCTCTAGTGGCCACTCAGTTTCCTTTGTTTCCGCATTTCGGATCCGTTATTGGGTTATTCTTTTGGTTCATCACAAGACACACTGGGTTGAAAAATCTAGGGTCGTCACAAGACCGGTATCAAATGAAAGGTCTCGATGAGATCTTCAAGTTTGCCAACAATGGCAAAGATCAATTCTTGCTCGATGTTGTAGAAATTTAGAGAGAAGGGAGATGGATATAAAAAGAGAAAGAAAATGTAAAGAGAGAAAGAAAGGTGACCAAATGAGGAGGAAGAATAGGTTTAGCTTAATCTTCATCATAATTTCATGGCTTATATGGTGCCATGTGTCAATCTCTTGGTGGTCACTAAATCATGCCAACTTACTGTAATACCATCCCCCTTCTATCTCGATGCCATATTTGCCCGCAAAATATCACCATCAACTAACCCACACATATACATATCACATAATTATATATATATATATATATATATATATATATATATATATCACATCATCTCACAAATAAATAACTATATGCAATGGAAAATAATACCGGGACCCACATGGCACGTAAAACGATGTATAAAAAATTAAATAAAAATAAATACCCAAAAATCTAGAAAAATCCAGGACATTACAATATGCCTCTGTTTCTATTATCGTTGTTGTTCTTCTTGTTTGAACCCTTACCTCTGCTTTCAATATTTAATGCTGAACCACTGGTGGAATTCCCTGTTGTTTGCCTTCTCATTTCTTCAGTCAAAATCGTGCACACAACTTTATCAAACTTCAACTTGGTCTTCTCTGCAGAGTTACTGATCGCTGTAACTGTGCCACTCCAACTCTCGGGTAACTACCCTAGAATTAGCAGTGCTCGGACTTCGTCTTTGAAGTAGATATCAACAGACTCTAATTGCCTAACTATCTCGTTGAACGCATTTAGAAGTTCGTTGAACTTACCACTGTCGACCATCTTCATGTTAAATAACTTCTTGATCAAGTGCACCTTGTTCACTACAGATGGTTGTTCATACATACTAGAAAGGGCTGCCATAAGAGACTTCGTTGTCTTCTTGTTCTTGTAATTAAAGGCGACTTATTTTGACAAAGTCAATCTGACGGTGCCAAAAGCCTTCCTATCAAGTAATTCCCATTTTGTATCCTTTGTTTCCTCTGGCTTCTCTCCCAAAGGTTGATACAGATTTTTCTGAAACAAGAGGTCTTCAATTTGCATCCTCCACAAACCGAAGTTTGTGCCATCGAACTTCTCGATCATGGATGTGGATATCTTATCTTCTGATCCCATTACTCCCACTCGAATGGATAGATTTGATCGAAAGATTTCGGAATTTCGTCAAACACCGTCTGTGCTCAAGGTTCTTAACCTAAGGCTTTGATACTAGTTGTTCGAGTTGCTTTGCACAATCAATCGGATGCTTATACTAGTTGTTGTGGCGGAAACGCATAAAACAACACTGTTCGAGGAATAATTATAAGCAATCACGAAAGAAAAAATAATAATAATAATAATAAATAATAAATAAATAAATAAATCACACAAGATATACATAGTTTAACAAAATCTTAGGGCTACGTCCATGGAGCGCACCGAACAAATTCCACTATGAAAAAGATGAAGAATTACAATGGAAAATTTTCTCTCAATTGCTCTCTCGTGTTGGCACAAATTAATAAGTCATACAACACGTATGATGATCCTCTCTTTTCTCTTCTTACCCTAAAATCTTATTAGAGTTGATACATATAGTCCCAAACAATGGAACACAACTTGTCCTACAAGAAATTGCCTTTTGTAGAGTCCAAAACCAGTAAGGAAAATCAAATCACATAGCTTCCGAAGGGAGTTAAACCGATTCAGTAACACTTGAACTAGTTCAACTTTGTTGCCCCCAAAAGTGTTGCAACTCAGTGCCTCACTTGAACTGGTTCAACTAAGGTAGTAGTCAAAGTCCAATTCATCGCTCTAGTTGAACTAGTTCAAAGTTCTTGAACAAGTTCAAACATGCTTAGTAGCGTAGACTCCACGAACCACAACAAAAACAAGGCTCATTCCTGAAGAATGATAATATAGATTGCATTAAAAGGGCAAGGCCGAAAATAGGCCAGAAAACAATGCAGACCAGGTGTTGATGTATCAACCATTTTACCCCGAGACACAACTTGATTTTATATGTCAGTGCTGTACTTGCCTTTTCCTTTTCCCCTGTAGGCCGTAGTTGATGGGTGAAACATGGCACATTTTGTCAAGTGTTCAAGTTTGATCACCATGGGCATGACCAATTGCAAAAAACAATCACACAAAAATACACGCATTTAACTTTGGATTCAGCAGAACTGAGCATATATGTTTTGTGTAATTATTAAATGCTTAGATTGTTAAACGCAAACAGTGTGTTAATATATGATAATAGCAATTGTGTGCAGACAATGTCAAACATGGGGTGTCCATCCAAAATATGCTTCCTTCTATTTTCTGTATTGGCAAGACTAACTGTATAATGCATGTCCTTCAATAGCACCATTAGTGGACATGTTTCTTCATTACAACAGGAATATATATACACACACACACACATGATATGAAAGTGTAATACTGGTAGTCATTTTGAGGAAGTGTTGGAAGTTTAGAGACATTTAACAGAATTGTGGCTTAGCTGACAAAAAAAAGTGAACCTTTAGCCAGCAACATTGAATTAAGCATTCCTTGGCCTATGAACAGTGTAAGGTGGCTATAATAATCGTCAACTGCTACTTTCATAGAAGTCAAATGCTAAAGAACGAAGCTATTGACGAACTGCCATGTGCCAACACGAGCCAAATTTAATTGGGACTGAGCAGAGCATTTGTCAGGCTTGGCTGGTTAGCAATAACCAGCACAATGTGACTTTCTAAAGCGTTTTATTAGAGTTAGAGTAACGCCAAACACGGTACAAATATAGATGGCTCTTCATGAGGAAGGAGGGAGAGACCCCTGAAGGAATGACGAGATCATGAGCAGTGCTCTCTCAGGCTGGTAGCTTGGAACTAGATGTCCAGCTCCTCTTACTGTTGCAAATGTTAAGCCTTTGTATTCCACCACATATCCTCCGACCTGCCATTATATTCCAATATCAGTTAACTCAAGTCACTCTTTTAGTGGCAGAATATTGTTGCAACAACAAATAAACCACTGAAGGAGAAGTGTAAATTTCCAATTCAAAGGAAATGTAAAGTAAATTTCAATGGTGGAGAATAAATCCTTTTATTGGTTTGACAATTAAAGAATAGACGTTGTAATCATGATTATGAGCATAATACATATGGAGGAGAAGGGAGATGGTAAGGACTATGGAGGGAAGAAAATAAGCATACATGTCCTTTGGTGTGAATCCCTTGAGGTGTTATTAAGAGTGGGTTTTAATCTATATGAACTCAAATGACTACATATATAAAAGTATATGATATATAGAAACATCTTTTCAATCTGATTTCAGAAGTAATAATACAGAACATGGTTATAATTTATGAAACCATTTCCTTTCCCAATCCCCATTCTTCTTTTGGTTCATTTCTACAGATTTCTTTTATTTTCAGTATGATGTGGTGAATCCCGTTGTTACTACTACTCAAAATATCAGTTTTCTTACTGGACTTGGCCCAGATGAATAGAAGGAAGGGTTGCAACATCCCAAGGAAAGGAAAGGTTTCCTTCTCCCATTTTGTTTGGTTGAGTGGAAGGGATGAGGAGAGAGAGTGACACCTTCCATTGTTTGGTAAGAAGGGAAGGAGGGGTTTCATATTCTTTTACCTCTATACCCTCATTATATAATTTTACAAAAATTAATGAAGTACGTTACTCTACATAATACAACATACTTATCCTTCTCTTCCCTCCTCTCTTCTGTCTGATTTTGGAGGGATGCAAAATGGTGGGTCAGAAGGGATTCCTTTCTTCCCTTTCTTCCAACTTTCTCATGTACTATGATAGACCCCCTCCTGTCTTCCCTCCATCCCCCTTCCTTCCCTCCTAACAAACATAGCCTAGGTTTCTGTCTGGTTTAGTTGTTTGAAAAAAAAAAAAAAAAAAAAAAGGAAAAAAATGTTCAATAAAGTTAGGATTTTTATTTTTTATTTTATTTTAACTCAGCTTTCATTATACAACTTCTTTTCTTTTCTTTTTTATTCAAAAAAGAAAAAGAAACCATGTAGGACCAAGATTTTTCCTCCCACAAAGTCCGTGCATTAAAAGTTTGTAAATATCACACATTTTGTTTTTGGTTAGGTAAAGACTCACGTACACATTAAGTGCCCACTATGGGGCTCAAACCCCTCCCCATCCCCTTAGAGGAAGGAGAGGTTATAAAAGCTGGGATAATAACCCATTGGTTCCATGTATTAAAAGTTGCAAAATGTAAGAGGGGAACTACAGAAACATCACAGGCTATCTCAGTTGCTACCATATATTGATATGCATTAAGGACACATTGTATAATTGTCTCATTTACAGTAGCAACAATATTACCTCATTGTTGGTGTACCAAGGACGCCAAGCTGTCTGGATTGGAAGCTTGAGGCTGCTTATTGAGTACTTGGATGATGTAACCGGAACAACCGAATCTATGTCACCACTGCAAGAGTAATAATATCTTTCAGGTAAATCATCCATGAACTTGAATAATATCAGTTTGTTTACTTAGAACTGGAATTTCCATACTGCACTCTGATTTATTAGACCTTAGCTCTAGGGGTGCACATAGTTGATTTAGTTCGGTTTTGGGGTATTCGTTTCATGAATTTTGGAATTGACCCAAACGGATGGAACTACCTCACCATGCAAGAATGGTTTGTTTTTGTGAAATAGTAAATCTACATGAAAATTTATCATACATAATTACACACACATTTATGTCCATAAAAAGAGCACATTATCAATAACGAAAACAGACCTAAATAAAAGGGAAAAAAATTAAAGTAATAGTTCGAAAACAACACCAGTTATAATAAACAAAGAATAAAATGGCAATAACTATAAATAAGAACAGATATTTAATAGGTTGAATTGAAGATTGATTGTTTCATTTTAGTGTAAAGAGTAGGAATACACACACACACACACACACACGTATATACAAGTAATATTGATTTGCTATGGTGCAACTTTACAGTAATTAGTGTTATTGACCATCATCATCATTCTTGCCTTAATTCCATATGAATGGAGTCATTCAAGGTGTTGCTCACCAATCATATAAATGAAACTAGAAATATAATGACTCATTATGGATTGGTTCAGCCTTTTTTGGTTTTTAAACATCCAAACTAATCTGATCCTAACAGTCCCAGTACTATTTGTGGAACTGAGAAAGAACAATTTCCTCCCAAAACTAATTAAAACTGTATGATTTGAATCGGATTGACCATTAGAATGGATCCCCGTGCACCCCTACTCAGACGGAATCAGCGCATTCATCGAAAGTCTATAGGACAAGTTCAAGGGGCCAAACCCCTACTCGGACCGAATCAGTGCTTAATCAAAGGGCATCTAACTCATTGGTATAATGTGATGTCTGTGTAAGTATATGTGTATTGTGTGATGTATATTGAGTAAAAGAAAAAGAGAAAACAAATTAAAATTTTCGTGGGACCCACCACCACACCCAAAAAGGGTTTGAGACCACAATTGGTCTCCATTTTTCTTCTCTCCCGCTGGCCCTTCCTTCTGTCTCTATTTCTTGATTTTTCTTTTTCTTTTTGAACTCAAACTTCATTCTTAGATTACTCCTCCACCTTTTGTCGGATTGAAGTGCCGTTTGAGGCAAAACGAAGCTCGTGTCAAGCTCTACACATCCATACAAGCAATTTTAGATTTTGTGCCCCTTTGGATTTCGAATCTTGAGACCCATTTTCTAGGGTTTTGGTACAATCTTGAGGTAGGGGCCCTTAATTCATGAAATCTTGTACCTTAGTGAGCTAATTGCCTCTAATTGTTGTTTAATTTGATTAGTTGTTTAAAATCTAGAGAATTGTTGATATGTATGCATATATGTTAGTTGTGTGACTATATTTGTTGATTGTTCTATGTGAAGCATGTTAAAGACTTGATTATATATGTTCATTGTGCTAGAACTTGTTATGTATAAGCATGTTATGACTTTCTTGATTATTCTTGCGAATTATGCCATGTTGCTTAAATTGGATAAAGTATGGAATGATGAACTTGTGTATGTCATTGAGGTATTCATGTATTAACATTGGGCAGGAAAAGGGAAAGAATTGATTTACTTTAAAAAGGGAAAATTTCGGGAAAGTGTTTTTGATGAAATGGTTTTATGCAAAACCCGGTCGCTGCGGGGTTACCAACGGGCCGGAGGTTAATATAGCCTAGAGAGGACTAGGGAGTCGCCCTAGTGTGGTTGAGCTAGCTGGGCACCATAATGACGCCGCGGGGTTACCAAGGGTCAGGGACACTAGCCAATCCTCCTCTCGTGTCGCGGCAGGGTTACCAAAGGGCGGGCTGTATTAACGTTTGAAAATGATGGTTTTGAGAATGAAAATGGGGAGTGTCATTGACATGCATTGCATTGCATTGCATTGTTTATAATTGGAATTGAATTGTATGTTGTATTTGATCCCCTACGTTGTATGATCCCTATCTCCCATTGGCCTATGCTTTGCTTGAATTCACAAGGACACAAGATTTGTGTCTTAAGTGTCACCTACTGAAAAGAACCGGTGGACGACAACCCACCTCAAGCTTGAGCGATACTAGAAGCTCACTTTTGTGTCTTTTGTATATCTCCCATTATTTTTGCAAAGCACTAAAAGTGTGAAGGTGTATATGTATATTTTGCAAAAACTTTGTCATGTAATGTAATTAAGGTATTTGATGATATTTTGGATGTGAATTTGATAACATATAAACCTTATTGATGAATGGGGAGAGTAATACTAGTTTGAAGTATTATTGAGGTCATTTGATTGTGTATCATCATCTACTATTGCCGTGAATTCGGAATTTGAGCCATGATAGGTTAAAAATGAATTTAAACAGGGTATGGTAGGCCTATTTTTAGGGGATGAAATACAAGTAGAGAAAAACTAGGGAAATGAATCCGCTCCAACCCTATACAAATTCTAGATTGAGATTAAATTGGGAAAATCAACGTAAATGATGGTCATGACACATAACAACCCTTGGTTGCTATACTATCCTCAAGAGGTTCATTAAATCAAAAACAAGAATAATCCATCAAAGATTCACATGCTTGAACTACCTAAACTAGGGTGTAGTCTTCAACATGCTCCCTAAGCCAAAGATTATCAAGCCCTTAATTAAATGATGAGAGCACACAAAGTTAAGAATCAAGTATAAACCATCAAAGGGCATCCTAAGCAATGATTTATCAAAGTTCTCAAACTCCATGCCATTAAAACCATTCTATGATCTAACTTCCATTGTCACTATGGAAATGCAAGCAATATGATTAGGAAGAGAAACCATCTAAGACAAGATGAATAGCTCAAAATAATCATGATCGATTGGTCAATTAACATCAACCTTCGCAATAGCACGAATCATTGTAAAATAGGGCTATTGGTCGGGTAAGTCGAACCACTGGGACTGCGCTAGTCTTACGGCAACCTTAGTGTCTAGAATTTTTCTAGAATGATGAAGGGTTTATAAAGGTTTTGTTGTTTGTCACTTAAGCTAAGAATATTGAAATTGCATAAATTAGAAACTTGCAAGAATTAAAAAGAAATGAAATACAAGTAGAGAAAAACTAGGGAAATGAATCCGCTCCAACCCTATACAAATTCTAGATTGAGATTAAATTGGGAAAATCAACATAAATGATGGTCATGACACATAACAACCCTTGGTTGCTATACTATCCTCAAGAGGTTCATTAAATCAAAAACAAGAATAATCCATCAAAGATTCACATGCTTGAACTATCTAAACTAGGGTGTAGTCTTCAACATGCTCCCTAAGCCAAAGATTATCAAGCCCTTAATTAAATGATGAGAGCACACAAAGTTAAGAATCAAGTATAAACCATCAAAGGGCATCCTAAGCAATGATTTATCAAAGTTCTCAAACTCCATGCCATTAAAACCATTCTATGATCTAACTTCCATTGTCACTATGGAAATGCAAGCAATATGATTAGGAAGAGAAACCATCTAAGACAAGATGAATAGCTCAAAATAATCATGTATAGACATTAGAATTCATTACAACACATATGATGCTCTAGATCATAAAATCACCAACAATAATACATTGAAATCCCAAAAGTAAAATCTACACTAGAACATGCTTACAAGGGAGGGGCTTCATCACCTCCCTAGAGAAGATTTAGTTACCCATAGGAGCAATGGAAGAAGGAAGAAGCTTGAAGACCTCCTCCATTTTCGTGCTCCCTTCTTCAAGCTTGAAGAACTCTCTCTCCTTGCTCTCTTCTCTCTCCTCTAATCTTGTAGAATATGGGATAATGATATGTGTGGCCTTCCTTGCCTTATCTCCTTCAACAAAGCTCTCTCTCTCCTCCAAAAAACATCCCCAACCACCTCATAAAGAAGTAAGTAGAAAATGAGGAAACCAATGCACAAGTGGCTGCCAAAATGAGAATTCCCGAAGGCAATTCTGCCCCAAATTCGAGCACTCTAAGCAAGGCCTCGAGCGCTCGAATTTAGTGTAAAAATGCCCATGCTTCACTTGCTCCGCCCAGACCTACTTTGGTTAAACAGCCATAACTTTACGCTCCGAACTCCGAATGACGAACCGTTTAAAGATTTGGAGAGCCGATTCAGAGCTTTAAAAACTTCATGTTTTGATGAAGACCCAAATCTCAAGTCTGGTTGGTCGAAAATGGGGAGAAAGGCAGTACTTCAGTGCTGCCAGGCAGTTCTGCGCACCTCTGGTAACAAGGCCATAACTCTCTGCTCCGAGCTCCGAATGATGAACCGTTTGAAGATTTAGAAAGCTAATTCAGAGCTCTAAATCTTTCATGTTATGATGGAAGTCCAGTTCTCGAGCTTTCTGGGTCAAAATGGCGAGCAAAGTCCTAACTCCACTGCTGATCTCGTGAAGCAATCTGCCCTAATTTCGAGCACTCGAAATTAGGCCTCGAGCACTCGAAAATTGGCCAGAATGCCCTATGCTTGGTTTGCTCATCCCGGACCTACTTTGGTAAAATGGCCATAACTTTGTACTCTAAACTCCAAATGATGAACCGTTTAAAGATTTGGAAAGCTAATTCAGAGCTCTAAAAACTTCATGTTTTGGTGGAGATCCAATTCTCAAGGATGATTGGTCGAAAATGAAGATCAAGGCAGAATTTCATTGCTGCCAGGCAGTTCTGCGCACCTCTGGTAACAAGGCCATAACTCTCTGGTCCGAGCTCCGAATGATGAACTGCTTGAAGATTTGGAAAGCTGATTCAGAGTTCTAAATATGCCATTTTATAATGGAAGTCCAGTTCTCGAGTTTGCAAGGTCAAAATGGTGAGCAAAGTCCTGACTCCACTGCTGCCAGAAATTCAGAATTGTGCCTTTTGATGGCCAAAACTCCACAAAGCCTTGATTTTGCTCCTTTTTTGGCAAATGGACCTGAAAATATATACAT